GCGCGTGGGGCGGACCACGCGCAACCCCGGCCTGGAGCGGACCAGTAGCGAATGCTGAAAGCTGCCGTGGATCAGCGGTCTCCGACGGACACGGATCAGTGGATCAGCACACGGCGTGTGCTGCCGACGACAGCCATTGACTTGAGCCTGAATGGCTTCGGAGAAAGGGAGGGGGGGGCAGGGGGACGAGGAGGATGAGGAGCGATCCCCAAATCCCCACCCCTGGGGGCTACACTGGAGCCTTCTCCCAACCCTGCCTCCGTGCACCATGCGTAAATTATCCCCTCTTCCGCGGACGACTCATCCTCCCTTCTCTGGCCCTCCTCTCGAGTCGGACGAAGTGGGCGGACAGGACAAGGAGGGCTACATAATCAACTGCATACAGCTTGTTTCTCGGCCTCCCAGCAACGGAAAGCGCCCAACTGCGAGGCCGAAATTCGCCGGCCCAACGGGCCAGAGGCGTGCTAAGATCTCCGGCAACTGGTTAACAATTCTTCTAGTTCGCGCGCGCGGGGCGGCCCCTGGGGGTCCCCCGGCGAAAAGACCCCCGACCGCAGCCCGGGAAGGTCCCGGGAAGGTCCCGGGAAGGTCCTGGGAAGGTCTACTCAGAGATGGTTTTGAGGGCCTTTTTTTCGACACCACTCACGAGGATTGTGGCCTCCGAGGGGGGTGCACTCGACTACCCCGCCCCAAGAGGCCCCCAAGAGCCCCCCAAGAGGCCCAAGGGGGCCCCAAGACGCCGCCAAGGAGCCCCAAGAGACCCCCAAGAGGCCCCCAAGAGGCCCCTAGGAGGCCACAAAGAAGCCCCCAAGAGGCTTCAAAGAGGCCCCATAGAGCGCTCGAGGGCTGGCGGACTGAGCGAAGCGATTAAATAAGTTGCCTCCGGCAGTCTTCGCACCGCTTGCTACGGCGGCGCCTGCCACGGTGCCGTCCTAGCCGCAGCCCCCTCATCCGCGACCCACCCCGCGCCCGCCCTCTCACTATTATCCGCATTTCCGGGGGGGGGGGGCTACGGCGTAAACATGTACATACATACATCTTTTAGATACATGCATACGCACATACTCACATGCAGCTATATGTATTTAGTGTATAGCTATATATATATATATATATATAGAAATACAGATAGATGTGTGCAGATCTCAGAATGAGGGCCGCAAGGCCATTCACTCTCCCTGGGTGCATGGCTGAAGTGGGGCTCCACACTGCGGATTGTTGTTGCGCTGATGTTGTTTGATGTTGTTGGTTGTTGGATTATCATGTCCCCGCAAGAATGTACATTCCCCCCCGTGACCAGTTGTCATTGTCAATTGAATTGTTCCTCCCGGGGCGTGCGCCCAGTTGTTACAAAAGGGAGAATCTGGGAGATCAGATTGCGCACCTGGCCCCCGGTTTACAACAACAACACCACCAACAACAAGAACACCAGCAACAACACCACCAACAAAAAACAACAACAACTACATCAATTCCTCCGACGGAAGGACCCCACATGAGAATCCTCTGGGCGAATCTGGAAAAAGCCCTCACCGTCGTCCTCGTGGTTGGTGAGGCGTCCTGGCTGTCTCTTCTGCGTATATTTTTTCTCGCCCTGGCGCGGGCCCTCCCCCCGCTCCCTGCGTTGCCCCCGACCTCGTCGTCATCATCATCATCATCATCATCATCATCATCATCATCATCGTCATCATCATCATCATCATCAACATCATCATCATCAGCATCAGCATCATCATCATCATCATCATCATCATCATCATCATCATCATCATCATCATCATCATCATCATCATCGGGTGCGTCCCAGTGGATACGTGCCGAACACGACCCAGAGGAAACGCACAGGGTGCGTCCCAGTGGATAATTACGTGCGGGGGCACGACCCAGAGGAAACGCACAGGGGTGCGTCCCAGTGGATACGTGCCGGGAATAACGCTCTGGGAACACGACGAAAACAAAGTGGCCTACACTTGGCTCCGGACATTCAGAATGTGGCCCGGGAGTTGAGTTCTGGGAGAACGAAGAACACGAAGTGGCCTACAGATGTCTCCGGGCATTCAAAATGTGGCCCGGGAGTGGTGTTCTGGGAGCGCGAAGAACACGAAGTGGCCTACAGTTGGATCCGGGCATTCAAAATGTGGCCTGGGAATGGCGATCTGGCAGCGCGAATGCCCAAAAGTGGCGACACAAGAATTGGATGACCCGCTCGGATTAATAACGTGATCCGCGGGCACCATAGGGAGGGGGCTCCCGCTTGAGACTTCCTCGGATTAGTAACGTAAGCCGCCTGGGAATGGCGTTCTGGCAGCGCGAGAGCCCAAAAGTGGCGACACTTACAAGAATTGGATGACCCGCTCGGATTAGTAACATGATCCGCGGGCCCCATAGGGAGGGGACTCCCGCTTGAAACTTCCTCTGATTAGTAACATGATCCGCCTGGGAATGGCGATCTGTCAGCGCGAGAGCCCAAAAGTGGCGACACTTACAGGAATTGGATGACCCGCTCGGATTAGTAACATGATCCGCGGGCCCCGTAGGGAGGGGGCTCCCGCTTGAGACTTCCTCGCAATTCACTCACAGACGAGGCCCAGGGCGAGTGAGTGAGTGACTGACTGACTGACTGACTGGTGATGATGCTGATCATCGCACCCTCTCACGCGCACACTCATCATCATCATATGTGAGTTCATGAGCGTGTGAGTGAGTGAGTGCTGATGAATCAGTGAGTGGGTGAGTGAGTGAGTGAGTGAGTGAATGAGTGAGCTAATGAGTGAGTGAGTGAGTGCATGAAGACAAAAGAGGAGAGGGGGTGAGGTGAGGAGGTTCCTGCGCGGAGTGTCCAAAGAAAACAAGAACCCCACTTTGGATGTGGGGAACAACAACACCAACAGCATGATCAACAGCAGCAGCAGCAACAACCACAACCACAACCACAACCACAACAACACCAACACCAACAATAACAACAACAACAACAACAACGATTCCCGCCTGACATGTCTTGACAATGTATGTCAAATCGCGCTCTCGCGGAAGACGTCCTAACTGTGTAATTATGCCGGAGTCGCGCTCTCGGGTGGGACGCCCTCGCAATTTATTCAAACGCCGCGCCCTCAATACTCAGTAATCACGCTCTCGCTCTGGCTCTTTCTCACGGGTTACTTGGGAATCGCGCTATTGCTGGAAACTTTCTGCGTGATTCATGCAGGACTCACCCTTCAGCAGCCCGCCTGCTCGACCTGGCCGCCTGGGCCCACCTTCCCTACCCGCATGTTAGGGTCAACCCGCCCAGTCTGCCCGCCTGATTCTGCCACGTGATCGGTGCACCTACCCCCCTTCCTGTCAATATCTGTCGTGCTCCATCATTCTCCGTCCCCTTTCCGTTTGTCCTCTCTTCCCCTGCTTCAGGGCGTGCACGAATTACACGTGGGATATAAAGAACATAGAACCAAGGGGGTGGGATCGAGGACGAAAAGGGCGGGCACCGAATGTTTGGGATATACGTGCTGAGTGGCACGCGGGCAGATAGAAGCGACCACTCTTAAAATGAGTGTTGCTGCTGATGCTGCACATCTAACAAAACAAATAAAATTGATCCCCCCGCCTGGTGCACATTGTGTTGTTCAATTGAAGTACTCCTCTCGAAAATCGCACATGGAGCAGAGTTCTCGTCAGATTGGGCTGCTGGCCCTCGATATACAACAACAGCGGCTTTCGCCTGATACTTGCTCACACTGTATTCCAAAATCGCGCTCTCGCACAAGAGTTCCTCACACTGCGCGCATGGACAAAGTATGAAACGCAGCGCCGTCGAAGCTCAGGGATCGCGCTGTCCCAGTTGCTTCTTCCGCGCTTTGATTGGGAATCAATACGTCGGTAGAGACTTCCTCGCGATTCATGCAAGACTCACGCTTCAACGGCCCGCCTGCTCGCCTGGCCGCCAGAGACCGCCTTCCCGACCCGCCTGTTAGGGTCAACCCGCCTGGTCTGCCCGTATGGTGTTGCCACGTGTTTTCTGTTCCTAACCCCTACTGCTAATCTCTCTCGTGCTTCATCCTGTCCATCCCTTTTCCATCCGTCCTCTCCTCCCCTGTGTCAGGGGCTGCAACAATTACACGTGGCAGGTAAGCAATGAAACACCCCAGTGAGGTTGGATCGAAAACGAAGAGGGCGGGCATCGAGGTCTTGGGACGTGTTGAATGGCACGCGGGTAGGCGAGAACAAACATTATTCAAATGTTTGTTGTTGCTGTCGTCCAAACCCGCAATCCACCAACGACCCGCCCGCGACCCGCCCGCGACCCACCCACGACCCACCCGCGACCCGCCCGCGACCCGCCCGCGACCCACTCGCGACCCACCCGCGACCCACCCGCGACCCACCCACAACCCACCCGCGACCCGCCCGCGACCCGCCCGCGACCCATCCGCGATCCATCCGCGCCCCACCCACGACCCACCTGAGACCCAACCGCGACCCACCCGCAACCCACTCGCGACCCGCCCGCGACCCACCCATGACCCCGCCCGCGACCCACCGCGACCCGCCCGCGACCCACCCACGACCCGTCCACGACCCCGCCCGCGACCCCGTCCGCGACCCACCCGCGACCCACCCCGCGACCCACCCGCGACCCACCCCGCGACTCACCCGCGACCCGCCCCGCACCCGCCCCCTCACTCTTATCCGCAACTGCGGGGGGTGCGACGATGGCTCTTCTCTCTCTCTCCCTCCCTCCCACCCTCCCTCTCCCCCGTACCTCTCAACTCTGCGGTGCCCATGGCCTCGGCGTCGCCCCAGCATACTTATACGATGTGTGCGTCGCCCCCCCAGGGGCGACGCGCGCACCGAGAACTCTTATAGTAGATGCGTGAGGACACGGCCGTGATTGGCGCAGGCCAGTGGCCTCCTCGCTGCCTCCTGCCGCTTCCCCCCCTGGTGCTGTCAGGGGCCTTACACGTGTTCGGAACTCGCGTGGGGAGGCGGCTTGCGCCCGTGGCCTCGGCCGGGGGAGCGCCCGCTATTCTCTCGGAGAGCATGTCCCACGACTTGGCGGCGTCGGGGCGGACCTCGAACGGGGGGGAGACGCGGCAAGTGGGCGGGCCGCTCCGCGCACGAGGCTCCCCCCCCACGGACGGCAATGGCCGGCGTACGTGCGGGGGAAGGGAAGGGCATGACAAGGATAGGCGGACATTGGGAGGGGCAGAGAAGCGGAAGGTGAGCAGGAATCGGAAATTTCTGCAAGTCCACCTCATTCCTCCTCACACCTCCTCTTCCTCCTGACTGTGTTCTCCCCTTCCTGGGGGGGCGGAGCAGACACATGGGCCAAGGAAGACACACAGACATATGCACAGCGTGCAAGACTTCCAGACCTTCTGGATTTGCGGACACCCCTCCACTTCCCTCACTTTCCAACATCCACATGGACATCAACGATTACGTGTGCACCTCCGAGGGGAGGCGAAGGCCTCTGGGGAGCCTGCGCCACAGGACTCAGAGGGCAGGCTCTTGGCCCGGAGATTGCCGCCGTCCCTCGGGCGCAATGACTCACTGCCCTAGCTCCTCAGCTTGGGCGCGAGAGGAGGATCCAAATAGCACAAGGCCTCGGACGAGGTCGATTCCGACTTGCTTCACAACTAGTGCGGGTTGGGGAAGAGAACCAAGACGACGAAGCGGAACGGAAAGGCGTGGGTCAGACCTACCGCGTCGGTCTACAGACCCAGGGGTCGGGTCTGAGTTTGCTTGACCTTACTAGGAATCCAACAACCAATGTGAGAATGCCGAATACTCTGACCAACCATGACAACGCTCTAGACATTGAACCAACAATGAATGTGACTGTCGTTGGTGTAAAAGTTCCGTTGGTCGCTACGTGGGCGTACGCAAGCGTATCCGTGCTGACTTGCTTCGCACACGCAGGTAGTATCCTTGGTACCAAGGCTCATTAGCGATGGCTAAATATCGACGCAGTGCCAATACCATGAACATAAGCATCCTCCGAACTCGGCACGCCTGGGCTGCATGATTATGTCCGTCACAATCAAACGCCCTCAACAAATTGGGTCGCGTTAGAATGTTTGTGGGCTCCGCAAGAGTTGATGTAATGTTCCATGGGCGGCCCCCTCCTCCTCGCGCCCCCAGAATCAGCTTTACCCCAGGTGGCCCCAACACTACCGAATAATTCCTCAAGACAGCTTCACCACATTCCATTGCCATACCAATATTGCCCAATTACACCCCAAAAGCAGCAAGATGGCTGCGAAGCCCTGAGATACAATTACCATGGCGAAGAATACAATCGTTTCTAAACACGCGGCGGCGGCTATACATATGCCCGTTCAATCCGTAAGAACACTCTAAGAGATCTGCAGTGTCCCTGAACTCTTCGCCGAAAAACGCCAGACCGCATTCAACGTTACCCCTTTCCACGCACGCACGCTCACAACTCAAATCACAAACGAGGGTGGCACGAAGCACGCGAGAGGTGCACCGTTATTGGACGGAACACCATGCGGACGCAGCCACTGGCGCATTCGGTGGAAACCCCAGATGGGGCCACGAAACGTGCGAGGGGTGCGCCGACAAAGGCGGTCACCATGCGGACGCAGCCACTGCGGCCGTCGGTGGAGCCCCCATATGGGGCCATGAAACGTGTGAGGGGTGCGCCGACATGGGGCGGGTCACCATGCGGACGAAACCACGAGGACATTTGGTGGAGCCCCCATGTGGGACCACTACACGTGCGAGGGATGCGCCGAAATGGGACGGCCATGCTGACGCAGCCTCTGGGGCCTTTGGTGGAGCGACCCGTACGTCTGAGAGGTGCGCCGAAATGGGGCAGGTCACCATGCGGACGCAGCCTCTGTGGCTTTCGGTGGAGCTCCCTATACGTCTGAGGGGTGCGCCAAAATGGGGCGGGTCAACATGCGGACGCAGCCGTTAGAGCCTCCGGTGGAGCTCCCTATGGGGCCGCGAAGCGTTGGAGGGGTGCGCCGAAATGGGGCGGGTCACCATGCGGACGCAGCCACTGGGGTCTTCGATGGAGCTCCCCACTGGGCCACAACACTTGCGAAGGGTGCGCAGGAATGGGGCGGGCCACAATCCGGGCGCACGCGCTTGCGCGTTCGGTGGAGCTCGGAGCCACGATGCACCACGACTCAAATCGCAAACGGGGGTGGCACGAAGCACGCGAGGGGTGCGCCGAAGCTAGGCGGGTCACCATGCGGACGCAGCCACTGGAGCCTTCGGTGGAACCCCCCCATATGGGGCCACGAAACGTGTAAGGGGTGCGCCGACAAGGGGCGGGCCGCTCGGCATACCTGCGCCTTGTCGACAAAGTGGCTGGCGACCTGGACGAAGGCGGAGCGAAAGCCAAACTGCCTTGGGCCTCCGACCAGGAAGTGGGCACCGCTGCCCCACAGCATGCAATCAGAAGCATCTTCCCCAGCGTGTCCCTGCGCCGGAGACGTACACCCCTGGCGTCCAGCGAGTGTCCCTCGCCCGACCGGGAAGGGGGGGCGACCACCCCACGCAATCAAGCGCACGAAGGCCTCGACCAGGGACTCCCATGCCGCCGATCTTGGCGACGGAGGGCCGCGCACCGCCACGCCACGAGGCAGAGCCACCGCCGCGCAAACGCTGGCTCAGGGGCCTCGACAGGAACGGCCGCGGAGGCGATTCTGGCCAAGGCCGACATCCCCGAGGAGTTGGGGACGGCCTTGAGCTAAAATGGGTAATTACGGAGTCTTGGGTTCACATCGGTTCTCCTCCTCCTTCTCCTCCTCCTCCTCCCCCTCCTCCTCCCTCTCCGATTCTGCCGCAACGGCGGATGACTAACTGTTGGTCATGAGTGTTCCGCTTACCGCTTAACGCTTGCCGCCAGAATGCGTTGTGTGTGTTATTATTATTAGTATTATTATTATTATGATTATTATTATTATTAGTAGTATTAGTATTAGTATTATTATTATTATCATTATCATTATTATTATCATTATCATTATTATTATTATTATTATTGGTAAGATTACTATTAGTATTATTATTATTATCATTATTATTGGTATTATTATCATCATTATTACTATTACTACTATTATTATTAGTATTATTATTATTATTCACCGCTTGCCGCAATCCGCAGCTATGGAGATCGCTGCCAACGAGTGTGGTCTTGATTCCGGGAACGATTGGCTTAAAATGGCATCGGAAACACTTCAGTGGACACCCTCAGAGGTTCCTAATACAACTCCAAAATGGTTTTCAAAAACGGCCAAAACAACAAGACAACCGAATACCTCCCTCATATGAAATGGCGCGAGGACGGGGGATCATTAGAAGGCGGGGGCACTCTTAGAAGGGCCTCGAGGCCTCCCAAAAGGTTGTTGTTTTTGATAATATATATATATATATGTATATATAATGAAAAGAACAAAAAAAAAAAAACAAAAAAAAAAAAACGCCTGGAAAACACTGGATCGATGTGTATATATATAGCGGCTTTGAAAGAGTCCCCACACATTCTGCGAAGGGGGCCCTTCTGCCAAAATCAATCATCACCGAATCAGGAAACCGGGTCGAATCAAAACTTGCGTCGGATCGAGTTCCATCGGCACGGGGCCGAAATCGAATCGAACAGGCTGCGCCTGCATGCGCAACAACGCCATGCGAACATCGGGCCGTATCGGATCGTCGGAATATCGGAATCGTATCGGATCGGGCCAACCGGATTCAAGTCTGGATCGGATCGATGTGGACTCTACATTTACGCGCCACCAGAAAAGGAGGGCGCGGAAGTTGAGGACAAAGAGCGGTAAGAAGACGGAGCCCGTCCACCCCGACATCCGACGCTGCGAACAAAATGCAACATCGCGAGCAATCACGGCCTGAGCCCTGCTAGACCCAAGTTTCATGCTGCATGTTTTGGGCCGGATCGATCCGTGAGGGCCGGCAACGGGGCCCAAGCGCCCGGTGTGACAGAAATTCGAACGCGAGCGATCAGACGCGCTGCGCGGCCGGGGCCTTGACAAAGATGTCCCGCGCCATGTCTCGAGAAGTTTCGGAGGTCACCTCCTGGGCCAGCGGCTCGCGCCAATAGGGAGGGGGAGGGGGGGGGGGAGGCGGAGGAGGCGCAGGAGGGGAAGGAGGAGGAGGAGGAGGAGGAGGAGGAGGAGGAGGGGGAGGAGGAGGAGGGGGAGGAGGAGGAGGAGGAGGGGGATAAAGAGGAGGAGGAGGAGGAGAGGAGGAGGAGGGAGGAGGAGAAAGAGGAGGAGGAGGGGAAGGAGGAGGAGGAGGAAGAGGAGGAGGAGGATGGGGAGGAGGAGGGGGAGGAAGAGGAGGAGGCGGAGGCGGAGGCGGAGGAGAAAGCGGAGGAGGGGGAGGAGGAGGAGGGGGGGGAGGATTTTTTTTGTTTCTCCCCGCGCGGGCGAGCATCAATATTCCATCCAGGTCCGCGCGCCGCGAGCAGCTGCGGCGCGGCGGCGGGCGAAGCCCGCCACCATCCATATCGCGCAGGAGCGGGGGGCAGCGGGAGCAGAGGGGCAGCGAGGGGGAGAGAAAGGACAGGGCACTGGATGCCCGTGCACAACGGGTGGCCGATCTTCGCCCACCCGCGGGAGGTACCGAGGTACCTCGCGCGCGGGGCGGGGCGGGGCAGCACTGCCCGCCACCGATCCTCCCGAACGAGAGTCCTCGGCAGCGGGGGGCGCACTCGGTGACGGGGGAGGACAGAGTCCATGCCCCACAAGCCTAGGGCGCTTGCAACCCAGGCCACCGCCACCACGACCCACAACCCAGGCACGAAACACGCCTAGACAAAATCGAGAGGCAGGCACCCTACCTCCCAGAGAGGCGCAACGGGCACAGTTGATCAGGCCGCCGACGGGGCGGGCGGCGGGGGCGGCAGGGCGCGGCGGGGCGGTTGCACGCGCGCCCCTGCGCGCGCGCCCCCAGCCAGGCGGGGGCCCAACCCCAGCAGCGCCAGCGCGCGCACGGAGGAGCAAGCAGCAGGAGGACCGAGGGGGCGGGCCGGGAGAAAGGCAGGGGAAAGAGGGGAAGGCAGGGGCGGGCAACACCGAATACCCAACAACGCCCACCCCGCAGGGGAGGGGCAGCGGCAGAGGCAGGGAAACGGAAGACAGCAAGCGACAGGAGAGGCAAGGGAACACGGAGACAAGCACTAGAGCACACGCGCGAGAGGTGAGAGGGGGCGGTCACACTCAGACGACATCACTTCACGAGGCAGCCCATCCATACACTGTGCCCAGAACTGCCGTGCCACAATCAAATCACGCATGGCATCGAGGATCTGCTCGGTGTCCCTCTTACCCTCCGCGCATGTACTGGACTCCAGTGCACGACGGGAGGCCGATCTTCGTTCACCCGTGCGATACCGAGGTACACTCCGACGACATCCCTTCACGTGGCAGCACGCCCAAAACGCCGTGCCCTGAACTGCCGTGCAACACCAGTATACCGACGAGCCAGAAGACGCAATCGGGCCACGAAAACCTGGGGCGAGGGGACCTGTGTCAAGCGTCGATGATGGGCGCGCGTCTTAAGAAATGCATCGATGAAGGCAGCACAGGCAACGTCGCAGTCGAGCCCCCAGGAGGGTCCCATCAGACATAGACAGGTAAACCAGGTGTCTCGGTGCTGCCACATATCCCTCCACGGCGCGGGTAATGCTTCCAACCCAGGGAGACGGTGCAGTGCAAGGTCACGGAATCGATCGCAAATTTTATAGTGGTGAAGGTCATCGAGGGCCACGCACCCAAAGCAACACCCACGGTCATTCGCATGAAACCGTGCCGAAGTACAAACGCCCCTGGACAGTGCACGGAGAACGTTGGTAGCCAGATGGGTGCACGCGGCACGCTCCAATGCGCGCAATCTTGTCCGAAGACGGAACATATCGTCGAGAGATGCAGCAACTAACCACCTCGATATCCGCACGCTCAGACACAACAGGGGAGTGGCAGCCGTACGAACCGACCGTAAGTGCCTATGGACCTTGGCCTGGATAAGACGGGCAGTCCGATCAATGGGAGAGTTCGCGAGGCCCACAGCATCCTCATTCGTCGTGCGTATCATCGCATGGCACCACCACCCAGAGAACGTACGGGCAGGAAAGAGTTCGTCATCAGCCAATCCACTAGATAAGCCATCTAACTCATAAGGTGCCACATCTAATGCCTTGCACCGCATTATCACCCGAAATTTCGTAGCTTTATCGTGCAGTCCCAGGTCCACGAATTCAAGTGAGATCCCAAGGTCACGTAACTGGGTGAGCATAGTGTAGTGCAATGCATGCCGGGGTCCCGCTGCTAGTATCTGCAATGCTTCCCTATACTGACGCCGAACCCCTGGGGTGACCCTCACCAGCTGAATCCGATACTGCAAGACTGAGAGGCAATTAGAGTGGAACAGGCGGATGGTGGTCGCCAAGCCCAGCGAGAGAGAGCGAAGAAGACGAACTCGCTGCCAGAACTTATTCATCGTTTCCACCCAGGCCACCTCATGGGCCGATTGGCCCACCCAGGATCCGAGGTACAAAACTCTGGTGGCGAAACGAACTGAGGCGAAACGGCTGCCTGTCCGAGTCATGTGAGCAGCGAGGGCATCTCCACTCAACGTCCTGCAGATCAGGACGTAGCATTTCCCCACATTCAATGAGAGACCAATCGCGGAAGAGAGCAAGTCGAGGAGCAGCAAGGCGGGCATGAGATCGATGAGAATGTCACATAGACCAAAGCAGCAGTCATCAGCGCACGCCAATTGGATACCTAGCCGTTCGACACGGCGGGCACGGATCCAGCGCAGCACGGGGCCAAGGGCCAGCGCAAAGAGGGTCATAGACGCAGGGCCCCCCTGCCGCGCACCTCGTTCCACAGGGGAAACAGTTTCGGCAGCGCCCTCAGAGCATACCAGGGCCGCGTTGTTGGCGCATAGGGCTTCGAAGAAGCCCACGGTCTCACTGGGGACCCCATGGCCACCAAAACGGCAAAAATCCACTCAGCCAGGACCGCCTTGAAGTCGGTAAACAAGACCCCCGCCTTATCTCTCCCACACATGTGTTGGATAAGGCCTCATTTTTCTACTTCCACGACATTGTCTAGCATGTTACGCCCACGAACCCCACCACGCTGGGAGACATCCACCGTCTCAGGAGCGACGTCGTTGAGTCCCAAACAGAAGGCATCGGAGAGTATCTTCGCATCCGTATTCGCCAGGGAGAGCGGGCGGGTGGAGGCAGGTGCACGAGAGACAAAGTCGCTGCGACCCCTGGGGCCGCTGCCCTTCGGGAGGAACACCGCCCGGCTAACCCGACATTCAGAAGGGAGAACCCCTCCTCCACTGTGGAAAACCTCCTCGTAAACCTCGAATAAAGCATCGGTCGCCTCGGGGACCTTCCAGCGCCCATACGGGATCCCGTCAGGGCCAGGAGCAGAATGAAACTGATGGCCGACACGGCCCCGAAACTCACCCGCGTCAAGTTTCCACCGTGGGGCAGTAGTACAGCCGCCAATAGTCTGAACATGGGTCAGTATTTCTTCCGAATGAGTCGGGTCGTAATCAGCCTGTGCAAAGACCTCACCCCAATGGGCAACCAGTGCCGCAGAAGCAGCTTCTGGGGAGGTACACGGGGCCCCGCTCTCGTCCAGAACGCCTAGCAGACCAGTCCTCCTCCTCATGAGATCCCACCCGCGCCTGAGAGCAACCAGCCTCCGCCACTTCTAGGTCCTGACCTCCTCCACTTGGTTGCTATGATCCACCTCCTCCAATTCCGCATCAAACCAGCGCCCCTTCAAGGTTAGTACCAAACTGTGGAGGCCATCAGGGCCAGCGCACACCCCGCCGTCGACGTCGAAGAAAGGCAGGATAGAGGCGTAGCAACGGATGGCACGAATACAGAGATACCACTGCCGACCCCTCCACCCACGGTATGCCATGAATGCAAAGTGTAGCCGTTCCGCATCGTTGCCCGTTGGTCGACACTTAAGGGCCTTCTTAAATTCCACAGCTGCCGTACCAAAAACTTCTTTCACCTCGCGAGTTTCTGAGCGGGGTCCGATGGGAGCGGTGGCTCCCGAAGCTGTTCGGGGACCAATCTGTGGTAGTCGGCATGCTGGCTGACCCATTTCGGAACCGAGAAACGAACCTTCGGGGTCGGGAGGGAAACCGCGGCAGTCACGGGAATGTGATCGGAGGAGGCCCCTGGATGCATGAGGGCGCCGACAGCGTTGACAACAACGGTCATCTCATTGAGAATACCTGCAGGAAGGGTCGTGTAAACCCGATCTAACCTGGCCAGCCCCCTCAGTTCCCGATTCACAATGTCCCTTCTGGCCACTACCAAGTCGCCTCGAGGTCCCCGACAATGGACAAGTAACACTCGCCCAGGAACGACCGTACCCGGAGCGATCGAGTCGAAGCAGTCGCAGAGTTCCGATGACAGGGAGGTCACCACTCCCCCCACGTTTCGATCCTCAAGAAAGCTCCCAAAAATTTGCCCAGTCCGCATTTCGTCCCGAAAGATAACCAAGCTTGCTTCATATCCGTGCGTCTCCTGTAAACACATGACCTGATACTGTGAGAGCAGCTGCCTGGCCCGAAGGAAGCGCGAACGTGACCGAGATGAGCGAGACGAGAGAGAGGCGAAGAGCGCGCGCGCGTTCCAACTGCAGAGAGACAGCGGACGGGCAGGACGGTAGACACCACCAGCTTGCCCAGCAGGCGGCGAGAAGGATAGAGCACTGTCACTTGCATGGAGTACATCAAACTGGGCGGAGAGGGCGGACGAGCACTCAGTAGCAGAACCCGCTGGACTTCTCCCCACCGCACACTCACCTGTCGAACTGTTCGGGCACTCACCGAAAGGGGCGGATCTCTGCGAACCTGGTGTGCAGACACTGCGCATGCTGCTGCCCTCCCACTCCCGTCAACCCATCAATCTCGACGCCGCGCTGCACTGTACCCGCGGCTGGGCCATCATCAACAGTAGAAATCTGAACCACAGGCACAGGGACTCCGTTGTCCTTCATCACATACACTGCACCTCCTAGACCCGTGGG